ACCCAGCGCCATCATGTTGATTCTGACTCACAGCGCCCCTAGAGGACAGAGTGGAACTGCCCCATAGGGTTTCCAAGGCTGTCAATCTTCACAGAAGCAAAGCCGAAACCAAACACACTACCATGGAGGGGATTCTGACTCACAGCGCCCCTACAGGACAGAGTGGAACTTCCCCATAGGGCTTCCAAGTCTGTCAGTCTGTATTTGTGTGTGTGTGTGCTCTAGGTACAAATTTACAGGGCAGAATTTGTTTTACATTCAACATTTCGTGTACATTTGGTTGCACTCCCCAGTTACCATCCCCAACCCTAACCCACTCTCAGCTCCCTTCCCAGTGACCACCCCCATCCCTGTGCCCTTCTTAGTCATGTACTCCTGTCTGTCCAGCGTTCCGTCCATGTGAATGCTGTCCCTCTGGTGCCCCATGGCTGACTGCGCTAAGGGATGTATCTCTGTAGAGTAGGTGGGTACATCACCCAGGGTTGAATGTTCTGCATGTAAGTCTTATTTACTGTTGAGCTGAGAGCCACCCCTCAGGAGTGAGTTTTATCCCAGGGCCCACCAGACTCCATCCGACCAGTTATTCTGGTCATTACTGTGTTTTTGGATTTTGTTCCATGTTTTTCCTCCCACTCTATCCAGTATCTCCAGTTTTGATCCCTTCCCAAGTGGTTGGTGTTGGTAGCCGGGCGCCATGGAGTTCTGGTCTTGAGGAAGGCTGTAAGTCTTTACAGAAGCAGACTGCCTCATCTTTCTCCCACAAAGCAGCTGGTGCATTCGAACCGCCAACCTTCTGGTTAGCAGACAAATGCTTTAAGTACTATGCCACCAGAGCTCCTAATTCTGGTGAAAGGAAGGGCAAAATACAGTATGGGGTAAGTCAGCACAGTCTGACCAAGGCAAATGAAAACACTGAGACAAGAGTGACGAACAACGATGGTAAAATGCTGTAACACCTTCAATACTCAGTAACAGTAGTAACAACCAAGACGTTGTGCGTGGTCACACAGGTAGACAGCAATGTAGGAGGTTGTGGTAGTTCAGTTTGTGTGTCAACTTGGCTGGGCCTGGTTGAGTGGCTGGGCAGCTGGATGTAGTATTCCCCGTGACGAGACTGGCAATCAACTCCATGTTGGAATCTACTGGGAGCAGCTGAGTAGCTGCCTTAGGGATGTGGTCTGCTTCCTGTATATAAGGAGGAGCCTTGGGAATGGTCTCTAGCCTATGGCACACTTAGACCTTGCATGTAGCCGTGTCATTGCTCAGCAGCCTGCTATGCTCTGCCGACCTTGAGACTTACGATGGAGTTAAGGCCATCCCATTTGTGGTATAATCTTGTCAGAGCGGTACTAGGTAACCAGAACAGAGGTCATATGGGAGCACATGCCTGTGCATAGATATGTTGTTGTTATGTGCCATCGAGTCAGACCCAACTCATAGTGACCCCTCCTTGGGTTTCCGAGGCAATATCACTACAGAAGTAGATTGCTTAACCTTCCTTCCGAGGAGTGGCTGGTGGGTTTGAACCGCCAGCCTTCTGGTTAGCAGTCAAGTGAATGCACATACCTGTATTTGTATGTGCTGTATATATATTCACACAGATACTAGAGAAATAGGGGACACAGTTATGGAGACTTCCCAGACATATCCAAACACCTCATGGGACCCAATTCCTGGGTTTGAAGGCTCAGGGGACATCTAGGTCAACTGATGTAACATAATTTATAAAGACATATCGTACATACTGGTGGCCTAGTGCTTAAGGCATATGACTGCTAACCAGAAGGCTGGCGGTTCAAACCCACCAGCCACTCCTCGGAAGGGAAGACTGGGCAATCTACTTCCATAGAGATAACACCTCGGAAACCCAAGGAGGGGTTGCTATGAGTCGAATCACTTTTGGTTTGTTTGGGTTTATTGTACATCCTAGTTTGGTGAATAGCATCTAGGGTCTGACAAGCTTGTGAGTATTGCCACCGGAAATACAACTATTGGTCTCCTCTTCTCTGGGCAAAGGCGAATAAAGGAAACCAAAGACTCCAGGAGATAATTAGTCCACACGGCTAATGGTCCACGTGAGCGACAGGCCTGAGATCAGAAGTAGATGCCCCTACTGTCACTACCAACTGCTCTGACCAGGAGCACAACAGGAAGTCCTGGGTAGAATGGAAGAAAAAATGTAGAAAAGTCGAATTCATAGAAACAGACCAGACTTAACTGGACTGATGGAGACTGGAGGAACCCGAGACCATGGCCCTAAGACATCTTTTCAACCTGGAACTGAAGCCACTTCCAGAGGTCACCTTTCAACCACATAACAGACTGGCCTATAAAAACCAAAGTAACACCTGTAAGGCATGTGCTCCTTAGAATAAACAAGTCTATGAGATGGAAAGGGACTCTGGTAGCATAGTGCCTAAGGCACTTGACTGCTAACCAGAAGGCTGGCAGTTCAAACCCAAACCCACCAGCCACTCCTCGGAAGGAAGATGGGGCAATCTATTCCCATAATGATACTGCCTCGGAAACCCAAGGAGGGGTCGCTATGAGTCAAGTCAAGTCAATGGCAGTGACTTTGGTTTGGGCTTTGCTTCCAGTGGGTGTGGTTTGGGCTTTGCTCCCATAAAGACTGACAGCCTTGGAGACCCTGTGGTGCAGTTCCACGCTGTCCTCTAGGGGCGCTGTGGGTCAGAATCCCCTCCAGGCACTGGGTTTGGTTTGGGCTTTGCTTCTGTGAAGGTAGGAGCTCTGGTGGTGCAGTGCCTAAGGCACTTGACTGCTAACCAGAAGGCTGGCGGTTCAAACCCACCAGCCACTCCTCAGAAGGCAGACTGGGCAATCTACTCCCGTAGTGATACTGCCTCGGAAACCCAAGGAGGGGTCGCTGTGAGTCGGTTCTGACTCAACAGCACATAACAACAACAAATGAGATCGAACAGGCAACATGTGTCTAAAAGCAAAGATGACCAAGCAGGAAGCAGCAGGGAAACTGAAGGGATGGAAACGGCACTGTGGGTGGAGTGGATGGATGGGGTGGAGACTGGGAGAGTCCTGACACGGTGCAGGGACAGCTACGATGTCATGAACAAGCTGCATGAACCGTTGAACAGGATAAAAAGCTCAATAATGCTATAAGCATGAAGAAAATTCAATCTTTAATTAAAAACCTTCCCATAAATAAACCTCCAGGCACAGATGATTTCACCCCCAGAGAAGGCACGATAAACAATGTAGTCTAATTTATGTCCACGCACAGTTTTATATCTGTATATATATGCACTGTGGACCGCCAGAAGAATGAACAAATCTGTCCTGGAGGAAGTGCAGCTGGAACACTCCTTGGAAGCAAGAATGGTCAGACTTCGTCTCACCTACTTTGGTCATGTTGTCAGAAGGGACCATACCCTGGAGAAGGATGTCATGCGTGGTAAAGTGGAGGGTCAGTGAAAAAGGGGAAGGCCCTCAACGAGATGGATTGACACAGTGGCTGTGACCATGGGCTCAGGTACAGCAGGGATTGTGAAGGGCAGTGCAGGAGCAGGCGGTGTTTTGTTCTGTTGTGCACGGGCCTGAGTCAGAGCCTACTTGAGGGCACCTAACACCAACATATACGTGCACTAAATGTATATGTATTTATATAGTTATTTAACATCATGTACGTATGCAAACACAAAGGAAAAAAAGTAAGGATGAGCATCAAACTGCTCATGAGGACTTTTTGGAAAGGCACTGGGACTGAGAAGGGATTTGGGGGTTGTCCCTTTACGTCAACTGTTCCAATTCTTATGAAACTCTATCTAGGACCAGAATTTAACTCGAAGGTCTGATTCACCGAAGTGAAAGTCTGTAGCAGGAAGATGCTGTTGAGATCCGCCCTGGGATCTGTCCTGTGGTTCTAAACCCACTGCCGCTGAGTCAATTCCGATTCACAGCGACCCCCACTGGGTTTCCAAGGCTGTAAATATCTTCCTCCCTCGGAGCAGCTGATGGATTTGAACTGCTGACCTTCTGGTTTACAGCCAAATGCCTTATCCATCTGGTTCTGGGCACTATCGTATCTAAAACACGTATTAGTTACTCTACTGTTGGTTAATAAATGTTGTCCCCAAAGAAACACATCCCCCCTTTTGCCCAGAGAAAATGAGTCCACCATACATGTTACACTGTGCATTTATTTACAAAGAGGCTAGAGAAACACACAGAATCTGGCTCCCCTGTGCACCGGGGAGTCACCGTCGTCATAATAAATACAGTAATTTTAAAAAGAAAAAAAAAAAAAAAACTACTGGATTGGAACAGCTGAGGGTCATCATGGGCTCCCCCCACCCCATCCTGAGGGGAGGGGGAAACAAGATAGATATCATCCTCCTTCCTTTTTTCCACCTCCCAATTCTCCATAATTGTTCAGGGACAGAGGCGAAAGAGTCCTTTTTTCCAGGTGTTGCCAACTCCTATTTGACCCTCAAAACCCCAAAGTCAGTGCTCCTTCCCTTCCCAAGGCACTCTGCAGGCACCACCTGGGTCAGACACAAAGAGTCTCTGACCAGGGTGCCAAGGGACATGGAGGGGGCGCTTTGTGAAGGCGTGGGGGCCACAGAGAGGAGGCTTTGAAAAGAGGAATGAGCCGAGGGGACCCAACAAGAGAAACAAAAGAGAAGGAACAGACTGTCTAAACTAAACTAGGGCAATTCACGCTGAGTTGCCCCTTCTGCATACACCGGCATCCATTACACAGGTGAGGAAAGTGAGGCCCAGAGGTGAACTTTCTCGCCCACGGGCTTCAGAGCCAGGTGTGGAACTGGGTCAAACAGGCCCCGCCCCCATCCCTCCCTGTGGTGGTGGGGAGCCTTTTCAACCGCTGTGGCTGTGCAGGGAGGGAGGGTCGGTCTTTGGAAGTAGAGAAAACTGTGGTCTTTGGAAGGGAGGTATGGAAGGGTTAGTGAGTGGGAGTGTGGAGGTGCAGAGGCCATGAAGGGGGAGCCGAAGCAGAACCCCTGAACTCACACTGTAGTCATGACCTTGAGAGAACCCGAACGGAAACGCAGAATCTTTTTCTTCAGTGCGTGGGAAGCCTTTATCTTCACAAAGACCTTGGCAGGGCCTGCGGGCGCCCCTCCACCTGCGCCACCCCCCGGCCCGGAGGCCGCGGTGGCTGCCACTAGCTGCTGTGGCCACACGAGGCCACCGCTGCCGTCTGAGTCGCTGGATGCGGAGCTGAAGGCAGGTGACTCCCCCTCGCTGGCGCTGGACTCGCTCTCTCCGTAGCCACCGCCTCCGCCCGTGGGTCCCCGGCGTCCGATGGGCCCCAGGCGCCCAGCCGAGCACTCCGAGTCGCTACCCGCACAGCCGTAGAGCAGACGGCGCTGAGGAGCTGACGGGGATGGGCCAGGACCAGGGCCGCGGGCCGCGGGGGCGCGGGGTCGGCCGCGGCGCCCATCCGCGGCGTCGATCTCCGCGGTGGAGCGCCAGCGACGGCAGGCGCCTGCGGCCTGGGCTGCGAGCGTGGGCGCTGGGCCGCGCCGGGGCCGGGGCGGCCGTGGTTCTTCACGTTCAGCCGTGGGGTACTTGGGAGGACCGGGAGGGACCGCGGCAGCGCGACCCAGCAGGCTGGTCTCCGACTGGGAGCGCGCGGTCTTGCGCGCCCTGGGCGAGCCCCGGCGTCCTGAGGCCTCGGTCATGCGTCCTCGACGCCCTGCAGCCCGGGGGCGCTCCCGAGGCGGGGACTGCTCCACGCTACGGCCACGCGTCAGTGGAGGCGCTTTGCGGCGCGCCGCGCGGCCAGGGAGGCCACGGGTG